CCCCAAAACCCCAAAACCCCAAAACCCCAAAACCCCAAATTAGAGACTCTTATTTGACAGCTATAAAATTTTTATTAAAAGTAATTACTAGTAAGTCCTGAGCCTAGTTACCTCCAAGAAAGGATGAAGAAATAGAACTTGGCGGTGGATAGCCTACAGGTTCATTTTGTAATTCAGAGGAGATTTACACCACGAATTCTGGCTTAAATACTTCTTTCTAGCACTAAAATTTTTCAAAATCCATATATAACCATTAATTATATAGAAATGGGGAACGGTCAAGGCAAATCTAAGAAGAGTAAAGCAAGAAATTGTGTTTCTATTTATCACAAAGGCGAGGTCATTACTGAATACCCAATAAATAAGGACTCTTCATTTATACCGAGGTTCTTAAGGGCTGAAAAAGATGATCATATTAGTAATATGTTTTCAGAAATTGAGGATTTATGCCAACAAAATGTGATTGGCTTAAGGACAAGAAATAGGATGTATGGGATAGACTTTCTCCTCATGAATGATAATTTTGAATGTCTCCAAAACGGAGATGAGCTGGAGATCATGACTGAAGGTGATCATGAACATGATTCTCCCATCTTAAATGCACCAAACCTACCTTCTGAATACACTGTGACTATATTTAACTATAAACTATTGCAGACAATTGGTAAGGGAGGGTTCTCTCTAGTATATATTACCCGAAATTTGAACAGCGGAAAAATATTTGCATGAAAATCAATAAACTCCTCGGTCATTAACAAATGGAAGAAATCAGATTGCTTGGCTAATGAAATCAAAATTTTGAATGAAGTAAACAATCCTTTTGTCATTAAGATGATTGACCAAGTCCAAACGAAGACTCATACCCACCTAATCTTAGAGTTTTGATTGGGCGGTGATTTGTTCTATCTTCTTAGTCAATTCCAAAAATTTCCAGAGAAAGTTGCCAGGTTTTATCTCTGTGAAATTATCATAGCCCTGGAACACCTTCATTCCCTTGATATATTTTATCGAGATCTCAAGCCTACCAATGTACTTCTTGATGAAGAAGGTCATATAAAACTGACAGACTTTGGTCTCTCACTCCCTTCCTTCCCAGAAGGATCTGTTTCAACTACTTTTTGAGGAACTCCTGAATATATGGCTCCAGAAATGCTGTTGAAAAACGGTCATGACAGATCACTTGATTACTATTCTTGAGGTATAATTCTCTACGAGATGCTAGTCGGGCTCCCACCCTTCTACAGTCATGATAGGACACAGATGTACACCTCTATAATAAAGGATAAGATTAAATTCTTGCCAAAAGTGTCAAAAACAGCTAGAGACCTGATTAAAAAGTTAACGATGAAGAATCCAAAAGACCGTCTTGGAAGCGATTATGGATTCTTTGCCATAAAGCAACACCCATTCTTCAAAGGGGTTGACTGGAAAATCATTGCAGAGAAGAAGAGTAAGGCTCCTTTCATCCCATCTGCAAGAGAGAGTAATTTCCATGATGAGTTCACTAGCATACCTATTCAGGAAAGTCTGTTGGAGTACCAACCCTCCAACTCTCTAGTTGAAACTGTATCTGATGCAAAGAGATCAGCGCTTAGAGAGCAATCTACTAAGCATAAATGCAGCATCATTGAGAATAGAAAAGTCGTAGAAAATGAGCATGAAGATTGGCTCAGGAATGTTTCTATCATCTCTGAATTCAGGACATGGTAAGTTTGCTGGTAAATCATTAGGAGAAACCCACAAGACAACACAAGCTTTCAGTCCGGCCAGGAATGATGGATAAAGACACCCCTAAATGTAAACAGAGATAGACTAAATCCATGTTCACCAACCTCTTCAGTCCATATAGAGTCAAATATTTCTAAATGAAGCTCATGGAAGAATATACCTCGAGGATCTCCTTCTATTGAAGAAGATTTTGACCAAAAACCTTACGAAAATATCATAACTCCCAATAGATTACTTCTGTCTGAGGATGAAAGAAGAATGCGATCAGTCATAAAAACTACTGAAAAGAAGAAAGCAAACCCTTCGAACTATCTTCACTTCGAGCCTGAAGACTCACATGAGGAGAGTATAGTCTTTAGAGATAGAAAAAGGAAGATCTCTAAACATCTCAGAAGAGAAGTTCTGAATGACTCAAATGAAGATTTACGTGATTATATTGATACTTTCTGTGACGTTAGTCCAGAAGCTCAAAAACAGGATATTAAATGCTTTGAGTCTAGAAACAGTCCATTGGCTTTATTCTCCTCTCCTAATTCGATACGTATTAAACCAGAGAAGGAGAAGATTACACCAAAATCTTTAGCCAAACCAGTCAGGTGGATAACTCCAATCAAGAAAACTACTAGATCTTATAGAAAGGGAAGATGTAAACTTCCCGACTCATTAAGCTCTTATATTTATTATAACCAAGAAGAAGAGAAGGTTTATAGAGTAATTTCACTTCCTAACACATAATAGGCGGGTAAGGAGAAAACGAGGCACTCTCATCCTTATGAGAGGAGCGAAGAGTTCGGTCTTGATCACAAAATGAAAAGCCTCGTCACACAGAACGCATTCGATGTGGACTCTATTTCACCGTTTAAGGCAGCGAAAAATGGGTAAAGATAGTGAAGAGAGCTCCAGAATCCGAACCGAACAGAAAGTGAAGAGCAAGCTAATCAGACCCTTTAAGGGCTACAAAAAGAACATTGGTGATAGGTGAGTCGGGTGTTTTAGGATTTGAAGTAATTGATATAGGAAAGATAAAAAGAGGAAGGAAAACAATTGTAAAAGTAAGTGCCGAAGAGAGGGGATTGGGGTGATAGAGGGGAGGTGAAGGAGTTATGGGCTGGAGTTAGGGTAAGAGGGTTAACAGAAGGGTATGAATGGGCTGGTTTTTGATTTTTAAGCAATTTTTAGTGTTTTGTAGAAATAAAATTTGTTGCATTTAAGGTCATGCAGTTAAAAAGATGAATTCTAAAGCATATAACCTTACAGACCCAAACAAAAACAGCCTGAACCTCTATCTGATCTCCATATCCAAATAAACAAATCATAAAATCCCAAAAACCACTTAAACCAACCCAAAAACTCAAAAACCCCAAAAAGGCTTCAAAGGGCACCAAAAGCTTCGTTGACTCGCTCAGCTCCTACAAGAAAGGAAAATCGTAACTTCTCTCTCACATTTAAGTAAACGGACGAAATGTAAACTGCCCCAAAGCATATTGGCCACACGCCAGAGTAGCGTCAGAGGTGAGTTTTAAGTGGGAATGGAGGTAAATGGAGTTTAGAGGAAGCAGTGAAACCCATTGTAGTCAAGTGTGTACTGAGGAAAGAGAGGTTCTAGTGGGTGTAATTAGATATGGAAATTGCTTGAATTTAGGAGAAAAATACCCTAAAGGCTCCGAAAACCTTTGTTTTATTGCCATGAAGCACTCATATGCTTTTATTTCAATATAAAAATTAACATCATAACTTTTGTTCAATAATCGGTGAGAATGTAGGGGTTTTGGGGTTTTGGGGTTTTGGGGTTTTGGGGTTTTGGGG